AGCTGGTGTGTCACGGTGGTGTCCCATGTGTTATGGTCTAATGATGGCCTCATATCGGATGGTGGGTGCTCGGGCTCCGTTGCTTGTTTGGTTTTCGGCATGATTTCCCTCGGCCATTAACATTTTCGATACGGTTTCAACTCTCTTCTTAGTGAATTGCAAAAATGTCTTGAATCTTTGGGGTTTGGGGCAAAAAAAAAGGCAAAACCACAATTTGTGCATGTGCTAAAGGCTCAACCATTCAGTATTCTTTGCACATGTAATTCGACCATTTCCGGGACACATAATTTCTGCTGTCGAGCACATATGAACCCATATGAACAGTAAATTCGAAAACAATGGTAAAAATATTCAAAATTCTGATTTTTCTTTTTTTTTTTGTGGCAAGCATTGATGAACGTTTAGAGTGCATGGAAATAATGGCATTGCTTTAACATCTTGGAGCACTGATTTTTTTTCAAGGACCTCTGCGAATGTCATTCCATGATAAAACTTTGCAAGCACTCAACACATTCAGCAATGTTTTATACACACACAAAAAGTTCATATTCTTTTGAGAAAATTTACCATTATTTTTGAGTTTACTGTTCACGGCAGGTGCATATGTGCTCGAGTGCAGAAGAGCATTTTGGCCATGTCCATTGCTTTCAAGTGTCAGTACAATTTTGTTAGAATTGCACTGAGTCAGGATGACGCACCTTCTTTTGAGCAAACACCACAAGTTACCACGTAGTTCATCACTCCACCACATACATGGCTCACAAGTAAACAGCCATAGCCGTGCACTTTCCCAGAGAGAAAGCGATTTGAGAGGGAGAGAGATGAGACGAGGGGAGAGGGAGAGAACTCCCTACATACGAGTTCATCACTCCACCACTAATAATTCGCCGTCGTCGACTCACCATTTGCTATGATCTACTCCTATAAAGCCAGCAGACTGCGCAACTTCTGGCTGGAATTCGTTTAGAACGAAAGCCGATCACGCGCGTACGTGGAAGCAGAGGCCAAGCCATGCCAGCCATGTACGCGCTGACCCCCCGCTGCACCCTCCCGCCGCACCGCCGGGCGCCGCCGCCGTGCCGGGCGGCCTCGCCGACGCCGGCGGCGCTGGCCCGCGCCGACCCGGACGAGCTGCGGTCCACGTGGCCGCAGCGCGCGTGGACGCTGGCCGGCTCGGCCGCCGTCCTCTCCTCGCTGTCCGCGTCCGCCTCCCTCGCCGCTGACTCCGGCTCCTACGCCGAGCCGCTCGCCGCCGCGCTCGCCGCCTACACCGTCGCCGACCTCGCCACGGGCGTCTACCACTGGCTCGTCGACAACTACGGGGACGCCTCCACGCCGCTCGTCGGCGCGCAGATCGCCGCCTTCCAGGGCCACCACCGCCACCCCTCCACCATCACGCGCCGGGAGCCCTGCAACAACCTGCACGCGCTGGCGCGCGCCGTGGCGCTCGCGCTCCCCGCCGTGGAGGCCGCGGCCGCGGCCGCCCACGCGCCGGCCGCCGCGCACGCCTTCGCGGGCACCTTCGCGGCGTGCGTGGTGCTGAGCCAGCAGTTCCACGCGTGGGCGCACGAGAAGCGCCGCCGGCTGCCGCCCGGCGTCGAGGCGCTGCAGGCCGCCGGCGTGCTGGTGTCGCGCGCGCAGCACGCCGCGCACCACCGCCAGCCCTACAGCACCAACTACTGCATCCTCAGCGGCGTGTGGAACGGGGTGCTGGACAGGCACAAGGTGTTCGAGGCGCTGGAGATGGTCGTCTTCTTCCGCACCGGCGTCCGCCCGCGCTCATGGGACGAAACGCAGGCCGCCTGGATGGAGGACACCGGCAGCGCCGCCGCCGTCGCTCTGACTGACAGTTCGTAACATACATCGAGCATCTTTTTTGAGTGATGGCCTGTACATACATACTACGGTTCAAAAGGTATACAGAGGATGAACTGGGATTGAATGGATTCAAGTAAACGAGTTTAGCTAGGTGGGAAAATATAAATATTTAATGTATATTTTAGGTTGGTTTTGAGGATGCAAATCTTGTGGTGTATGCAAAGAGAAAAGAATTCTTTACAATTGAAAATGTGATGATTTTTCATGGTCTTCAGTCTGTCTACGACAACTTTTGTTACCCACGGCTTTCTTGTGGTGCAAATGCATTTGTTCTGGTGGCATGTTCGTCGGATATCCATATCTTCTTGTCCACTTGCCAGAAAAAAGCACAACCAGTTGAGATGATCAACTCTTTGCAATCACAGAGCCACACATGCATATGTCTTAAATCTACATATATCTATCGAGTACTATGTGTTAATTCATCCACCAAAAGTGCGTACAACATCGGCTAAAAAGCTTATTTGAGACTCAGATCTGCTCGATCCTGGATCAGGCAGCTTAAGCAATAGAAATAAGCTGACACTTCCAAAACTGCGGAGGGCGCAACCCAGACGACCGAAAACTGAAGATGAACCCCTCAGCTAGAAGAACTGCTGACCATAGCAATCGCTTCGAAGCAAGGAGATGCTGCTGCATATCTTAGAAATTGTCTTTCTATGCACCCAAAAGAAACCCACTTTCCAGTTGTACCTTGTAAGGTCCACATGCTCTCAAGATAAAATTACTTCAAAGAGCAGCAAGAGATGCTGACAAACAATTAGATCATTTCTTGTAGACTGCAGATCCTTATACTGGTGTAATCGAACGATAGATGGTGGTATTCTCCAGTGAACACAACTCATGCAGCTCACATAAATAACCCAAAAGGCAGGCCTGCTTCAGCTAGCTGCTAATGTGAGCACAGAGCTACAGATTACATGCACTTGCATCACTGTGGTCGAGAAGTACAATGAGCTGAAACAGAGTCCTCCTGACTCTGCTTCCCTCTCCAGAGAATAATTTGTTCATCTTTAAATAGTATAGGGATGCATGGAACCAAATCCTATGAAACCAAAGGAAAGAAACAACAAAGTTAAATAAAGCATTCCGAGTGCTATGTTTGCAAGAGATAAAGGAGTATCTAGTTTCTATCGTAAACTCTCCGGTGTTTCTTACTGTTGTGTTGCAAAGGAGATGTCTTCTGTCTGAAATTCTAAGCAAATTCTAAGGCATAATATACTTTAGCTGCATATATGACGAGCGAACTGCAAACTGCAGGAGGGTCGTTATATCTCAACTGCAAGCTAACTACTACACCAGCACACCTGTTTGATTAGAGCTTTTATTGAAATTCTTTCCAGTTTCATTGTTCTTCCATGTGAATGCAAGACTGATGGGATTAATTCATAGAGAGCATTAGAAAGTTACAACATACCCTCAGCTTCACACCAATTTTTTTGCAATCACTAGTACCGCAATGAGAGCAATCTAGTCTCACAACTTCCAAAGTCTTAAAGGCCTCTCTCACTTTGTCAACAACATTAACATAAACACCATTCCTAGCTGCACAAGACAGAAATATCACAACATAGGAGCGACAATATATTGGCAACAAGATAGTGAGATGGCAGTATGCACTTATGTGATTCGAAATGGTCTTGCTAGAAATATGCGCTTATGTGATTCAAAATGGTCTTGCTAGAAATATTCCAACTTACTCAGTTTCATAAGCGGTGGCGAATGTAATCCTTTGTTTCTCATTTCTTTTGTTTCCTCAAAAGTCAACCCTTCAGCAACATTTTGGACAACCTTAGGATAAATAGGAGCCAATGGCTTCCACAACATCAATGGTATGACAGGCCGTTGTTTTGGATCATAGTTCCGGCCACGATATAGGATGAGTATATTTATGCTACGGTATATGATTCTCCCACCTGTTTTATCCTGCAAAATGGTGCACTCACATCAGAAATTGATGGATAACTGAATTCAACAGAAAAGGAGAGTTCAATCCCTAATTTTCTCAAGCATGTGGCAACACATTATGACCTCAAGATGGAAGCATATATTGTCCATGTCAAGAGTTGCAACCCCAAGACATTTGATTCTGACTGCTTCTGCACGTCTCCAGTGGTTGTGGATGTCATCGAGCATATTATGAGTTACACCATCTTTCCCTGAGAACACGACACATCTTATTTATAGCAGGAACAAGGGAATGCTTTTTAAGAAAAATGCAATTTTTCCTGAGCTACGCGAATGACCAAATGTTCAAATATAACAGTTGCAACAACATAATCTGCACAAATATGCACAATGGCATCTGTAAACAAATATAATCTGCACAAATATGCATAAGCTTCCCATATACTTCCTCTGTAAACAAATATAAGACGTTTTAGATCACTAACACTTATATTTGTTGACAGAGGGAGTACTATGGAAACAATTGATCCAAATTTTATTACAATGTAAAATATGCAATCTTTTATCACGGATTTGGCACAATTCAATGCTAAAAATTCTAGTACTCGTTATTCCCTCATCAATCAAACAAAATGTGCAATAAGATTGGGATTTGTAATGCAAAAGCTTGGACAACTAAAATCATCAGACAGAAACGCCATTTCAGCACTGAGTTGCTGAGAGCACCAAGAACTCACCCAAATTGATCTGCCGGGAGCAGTCGCTGTGCCGGTACCTCTCCACGAGCTCTGCCACCTCCGCTTCCGACAGCGCCTCGCCAAGCACCTCATCCCTACGACTCAGACCGCCATAAACATCCTCTCTGTTCCCTTCGGTGCTCGCGGCGGCGGCGACGCCGTCCCAAGGCCGGTCAAGGCGGCCGGGGCCAAAGGGCGAAAACCGGGTCGGCTCGCGGAATCCAATGGGCTTCCAAGCCGGGTCAGTCTCCGAGTACGAGTACTGGAAGTCGAAGGGAAGGTCGGAGTGTGCCGGCTCGTCGGGGCTGATCTTGGCAGGCTGGTCTTTGGGCTTCAGCAGCGGTGGCGGCGTTGGACCTCGAGGTGGACTTTTGGGGATTCGTGTAAACGGGGGATCATCATCGTCGAGGTTGGTTGGGTAGAAGGCGCAAAATAGGCGGCGGAGCAGAGCAGCCTGGGCTTGTGACTGCCTGGGGCACGGCCATGAGAGAAGTTTTGGACTGAAGAGCATAGTGGGATACTGAGATGGGAGCCAGTGGTGAAGCCAGGATTGAAGCAAACACCAATTTCTATTTCTGTAAAATAAATCAATCGAGTTCCATCAGCACATTAGACATACAGACATACTCACATAGTCACATACACAATCCATTCCATTTAAATTTCAGTTCAACATTTACATTTAAATCGTCTATCCACTGTGACAATCAGACAATGCATATACCAATTCACCAAAGACCAAAAGACCAGCGAGATAATTACCAGCCAGAGGAGGGACGCCGCGGTGGCAGTAGGCAGAAGCAGGTCACACAGCCGGCGGCGGCAGAAGCACGGGGCCGGGGCGCAGAG